TACCGTAAATATATTAAAACTTAATTTTTGATTAGTAATATGCATTGCTAAGAACTTCATTTGGACAACTTTAAAGGCGATTTTCTCAGTATTTTGATTTTTTTTTTGCACCCTCAGATTCCAGATTTTCAAATAGTTGTATCAGTCAAATATTGTCCTATCCTTACAAACCATACAGCAATGGAAAGCTTATTTATTCAGTTTTCAAAAAATTGACCCTTATGACTGGTTTTGTGGTCCAGGTTCACATATATATATATATACAGTTCTCAATGTGGGCTCTTTTGTATTTTAGTCTTTAGTGTACTGGCACTTTTTCGTGTGTACCGGCATTTCTGACATGCTGCCGGTACTCAGTCAAAGCGTCAGTAGTCTCAGCCTCAGACATCACGCCCACGGACCGTTGGCTAAACGTCTGATGCATATGGCACATAAAAGTGGAAACACTTCAGGAGTTTCGAAGTCGTCATCAGATTGGTTGAATTATACAGGATTTCCGGGAGACGTGTGTGTCACATTCTTTAATGTTCCGCCTGGAAACAATGATGCCGTAATGCTAGGCTTGCCGCGATAGACGGTGCTGACGGTGATACCGGTGTTAAGCCGCAACACCGGTTACGTCACTTTCCCACCGCGTCATCGACCCCCACCGTCGTTTTGATTTTTTTATAGTAATAAAAATCATTTAGTTCAGTAAAAGAACAGACACTACCATGGATTCCAGACCTTCAGTCGTCAGTCTGAAGGTCTGGCTACGCGAGACTAAAGCGTCAGTGTCTGGGTGATTAGAAATGACACTATATAAATCACACTACCCAGGACGGGTCACCTCTCATCTCGAAAAAATCAAGTGAACGAATGCAAGCGGAGTCAGTCTACCTCGGGTTGTCAATGAGCGTGTTTACATGCACGTTCTTAAGCCGATTATGCTTAATAAGCCAAAAACGCACTATGATTATATTTTGATGTCACTACAGGGAAATAACCTGATTTATTAATGAAGTCATGTAAACGCAGCTTACTTGCGTTGTCAGGTTACTGATGTGCATGTAAACGGGTAAAACTGGTTATTTTAATAAGCTGATATTTGTGAGTTATCAGCTTACTGGTGTGCATGTAAACGTGCTCATAATGTGTGGGGCGCGCAGAGTAGTAGAATAATAATTAATTATTGATTACTAATTTGAATCAGTACATTATAACGACACATCACATCAACACATCATTTTAAACCGGTAAACTCCTGAAAAGTCCAAGTAAGCGAATTCAATCAGTAAGTTCAAAACAGCGCTAATGCAGATAAAAAGTGAAATCTTGAAAGTGAAAGTAAAATGAGAGCGCGCAATCGAAAGCGGTTTCAATAGCGGCTCCCTGATGCCTGCAATTTATATACAGTCGCCTATACTTACCCAACGATATTGTTACGTCCTTCGACGTAAGTTATTATTTGTATTTATTTGCATTGGTATATATTGTATATGTTGTATTGTGTGCTACGGATTGTGCGCAGCTCTCTTTTTCCCTTCCTCCTCTCTCTCTCGTATTGAAATATTCTTTTTTTATCTTCCCATCTTGTAGGCTATTTATTCCCTTTAGGGTTTCCGTAGTACACTTCATTTGGGAATCACGATGTCCGCTTTTTTTGCCAAAAACCTCCATTTGGGGACGTCCTCATTTGTAAAACTGGTATAAAAATAAAGTAAAAAAAGTTTTTTTTTAAATTGTAAAAATGCAGAAAGTTTTCTGTGAGGGGTAGGGGTGGGTTTTGGTTAAAAAGTGTATAACTATCTGTATATAAAAACAATAGAAGTCTGTTATGTACCCATTTAGATAGCTAAGTAAACGTGTGTGTGTTTACACTTGGTGTAAAGGTTATATATTTATTTTTGTTATTAATAGCATTTATATATATTTCTTTGTTGTAACGAAAGAATTCTGATTACAGTCTACATTTTTTTTATAACAGCTATAAAAAAAAATGTTAACAGTATTTTTGTTCATTAAAAAAGATAAACATATACAACTTTATATGAGAATATATAGACTCTGTTACTGTATCTGTACATAGAGGTGTAACTGTATTGTTCTTTTTGTAAATTATTGTTGTTGTTAATGTTATTTTATGTAATTATTGTTTATATATTTTATTAGATAGTAATGAGAAAACCCCAAATTCTGTCTACGTTATATTGTCTTCATAATGTAAAAAATGTTGTTCCAAAAAAAAAAAAACATATAAATTTCAATTCTCTGTGTTTATCTCTCTCTTTAGGAGTTTCTTGCACCTTGGTGCCGGGCTGAGCGTCGGTCTGAGTGGTCTTGCAGCTGGCTTCGCCATTGGTATCGTGGGTGATGCAGGAGTGAGAGGCACAGCCCAGCAGCCTCGCCTGTTCGTGGGGATGATCCTTATCCTCATTTTCGCTGAGGTTCTGGGGCTCTACGGGCTAATTGTCGCTCTTATCCTGTCCACCAAGGGTTAATTGCTCTTATCATCTCTTAAACATGAACAACCATCAAACACACACACAAACACCAATACAAACATCCTCAAAATGATACACATTGAGTAACTTCACCACCCGAAACGATGAGAGAGGAATTTTTGCGTGCATGCATGTATCGTGAGTGTGCTGTTTGCAGGTGAATGTGTGATTGAACTTCCTCTCTGTGTATAGTAGCCTGATGTGCGTTCCCCCTGTAAATGCGCTGTGTAGCTATTGCTCTCGTCCTGTGTGTGTGTGTGTTTAAATAGATGCCCTCTTTCTCCTATGCTACACTTGTCATTCTTCTTTGTCAATTTTATTCTCATTTGAAGAACAAATCAACCATCGTTTTGTTTTCTTACTTTTGGGACCATTCAAATTGAAACACTGATGTTGAGGGCCTAAATGTAAAAAAAGATGGATTATTAACTTTTTTTTCTGTTTTTGCTGATTATTTATGAAGATTGAGATGTTCATTAAACAGTTAAATGGATCAAAGCCTTTATTAAAAATTATGATTATGTAAGTACATTACATGAGCGTGTGTGTATCAGAAATTTATACATATATATATATATATATATATATCTGTATAGGTAGGTGAATTGCACTGTGGGAAATTTGTGGAGTTTCTTTGGGTATGTAATCATTGATTACCATGGAGACCGTTGTCTTAATCAAGGTATTGATGTGCAAGTTTGCTAAGTGTGCGTGAAACGAATCGATGCACATGTGTGTCTGTGAGCGAGTCTGTGTTTTAACTCATAACGTGACATTCTTCAGACATGTAGCGTTTTACCTGTAGTTGATACTGTTTCTGGTTCCATTCATGGGTGAACACCAGCGCAGCTTGTCCAGTTTCCGAATAAAACTTCCTCACCCTAATTTCAGTTTCCTTCTTATTCAAACACACACGTGATGTGATGATGGAAACATACTGCAGATGTTCAAAGTACAGGCCAATCCTTGGACTGTAACATATCCTGTCTTTCAACTTTATTTTCACAAATGACAACCTATTATGAATTCCAAGTATGATAATTCATCTATCACTGGTGAACAGATGACATCTGAGGAGTGTTTCATTAAAATATATTCAGAAACTGCAACCATACATTTAATAATCATGAGAGTCGAATAGACTGAGGGACATGAGGAATTAATTCACAGGTTGCCTGCCATCTGGTTGTCAGAATCACTGCATTGCAGCCTCAACCAAACTTCATCACGCTCCGCGTCGTCACGCTTCCACAGGAGCAAAGGGGGCGCTATAGAGCTGCACTGCTTCATTTTCCAGACCTCTTACCGCACATCATCGCCAGAAACCGTGTAACTGTCCCATCTCTTCAATAAAAAGTGACAGTACTAGTTATATTACACATCAGCAATAGTAAAAGACCATTTCTATCTAATTCTTTGTACAAATGAAGAAATATGATTATAACAGTAAAACTTCATAGCCTACTGTGATTAGGAGTGAATGTCACAAAGCCTGTCAAGAAAGTTTTACAAGAAAAAAAAAAAACGAGAAATATTTTGCTTAAAATATTTCTATAAGATATTTTATTCTATAAAGTCTAAGGTCTGAGAAACAAAACGAGATTTTTGCTTTTATATATATATATATATATATATATATATTCACACACACACACACACTATAAGGTCTATTTTAGAATAATTTTTGCAGAGTGACATTTTAATGACAATTAAGCACAAAAAAGTCTCGTTATGGGCACGGAATTTTTATTTTTTATTTTACATTTTTACATGACATACTTTTTATTTTATATAATTTCCATTATTTGTTTTGTCTATACAGATATAAATCATGTTTTTTTGTTGTTGTTTTTTTTGCATTACAGCAATGAACATGTACTTTCCTTTTGAGAAAATGGTCATATACAAATAATAATCAGAAAAAGACTAGAAGCTTGATGGTCCAAAAATTGATTTCATTTTCTTAATACAAACAAACAAATAAAGAAAACAAATAAATAAACTATTATTTATTTATTTTGATTGTAAGCTAAACCCGGACAGGCATGACAGGTGTGTATTACGTCAACAAAATGCCTAATCAAGATTTATGAACAAAATTAGGGTCTAACTTTTATAAGCATAAGCAAACAAAATTGACAGACTGTTGAAGATAACATTGTTCTGAAACATGTAGCAGAATATTCTGAAATAGTCTGTTAAACTGTTCGGTTGAAGATTACTATACCTGAACATGAAGAATACAGCAAAAAGTTGTACGTTTGTCTAATTGAAACAGACAAGTAATCTAGTTAATAATTAATAATGACAAATTAACATCTGCCTCAATGTACTGTCGCTGCACTTGCCTGGATGGGGAAGCGTGAACGTGAAGGGGTTTAGCCTTCAGTCTTGGGACGAGTTTGACATTTAAGTGACAGCCGTTTAGACCTGTAGTTACGCGAGCTAGAAAATAAACCCCGCCTACTCGGAATTTTTGACCAATGGAGTTTGGACTGAAGAGACGGGACATGTTAAAGCATTGTTTACGTCTGTCGTGAAAGTAGGTCACAGGAGAGTGTGACAGTTAGCTGGTGGACAGAATCCGATTGCTTTTACAGATACATACATTACAGTGTCATACTAACATCTTTAGGTATACGAGACTCCAACGATCGCAGTGGTATCCCTGAAAGACAGGTATGTTTGCTTGCGCTTATCCTAGTCAATGCAGCAGGCAGGATGTAGCTCATGCTAAGTCCGCGATCCTCAGTTTGCGCCAAGATCATGTACGTTATATATGTTGAAGCCTGTCTTAAAATTATTATTGTACGGGCTGGGATAATATTGAAATCCAAATAGTATTCGGTAGTATTAGCATGATTGCAGGCGATCTGTTCTCCTATAAGCGAATAAGCCTTCGTTTCTACAGACTTGCAAGGTACCTCGCTCTCGCTGACCAATTTCTGCGAGGCCTAGCAAAGAGAACATGTTATGTTATTTTCCGGAATGAAATGACTGAATGCATATGTCACTGGCAATTAAACTGAGCATGTTGCCAACTAGTGTTTACATCTCGCGCGAGAAATACTGCAGTGGAAGCTTACCTTCACGAGCGCACCTCACGCGCAACGTGATTACAATAAAACGCGCATAAAATAATCCGTTTGTCATTTTATAAATTGTTTGAAGCATTAATGGGGAACACATGTGGTAGGGACACAAAAAGTTTATGGCTTCTGACAAACTAATATTTTGGTACTCTATATATAACACACAGTTACTTAAACGTCATTTTTAATGGTTATTTATTACTGGAAGATCTCTGAAGTAACAGAGTTATCATATGTCTGTCTGTTTATCATATTTCTGTAAAGCTGCTTTGAAACAATGTGTATTGTGAAAAGCGCTGTACAAATAAATTTGACCTGACAATGTGTTTGCAGTGTGTTTCAGTATGACTGCCTGCTCTCTCTGTTCATGCTTTATAACAAGCAACTGTTCTTTCTGTGATTGACAGGTGTGAAGGCTCCTGGTTGGCATGTCAAGGCGGAGCAGAAACAGCAGGGCGTGGAGGTACGTGTGGAGTGGAATCCGACGGGATGCAGATGCAAGAGCGTTGGTGCTTGCCTCTGAGAATGAGGAGTGGGGTTATGATCGCCAGCAGGTGGGTGTGTAGATGTGGCATAATTCCAAATATGAAAATTTGCTGAAAATTTACTCACCCTCATGCCATCCAAAATGTAGATGATTTCGTTTTTTTCATCAGAACAGATTTGGAGAAACTTAGCATTACATCACTTGCTCTCCAATGGATCCTCTGCAGTGAATGGGTGCCGTCAGAATGAGAGTCCAAACGGCTGATAAAAACATTACAATAATCCATACAACTCCAGTCTATAAATTAATGTCTTGTGAAGTGAAAAGCTGCATGTTTATAAGAAGCAAATCCAATATTAAGGAGTTATCATTTTAAACCATTTCCTCTTGCCAAAAATGTCCATAATAATGATTCCTCCAGTGAAAATATCAGTGTTGGGGAAGCTACTCTGAAACTGTAGCTTGACCAGCTACAAGCTACTCATAAATTAATCAAGCTACCCTTTTGAAAAAGTAGCTAGCTACACTACAAGTTACTGTCAAAAAGTAGCTAGCTTCATTGAAACTACTTTCAAATTTTTTATTATTATTATTCTTTTTTTTTTTTACAATTAACATTACAAATAACTACATAATTATTAATTAAGAATTATAATGAAGTTATAAGTAAAATATAATGAAGTTATAAGTACAATATTTGGGGTTTAAAACAACATACTGTAATGCAATCATGATTTCAAAGAGTAGGGTGAATTCAGGTGGATTGGGACACTTTTCCAAGCCATTTCAATGACAAAAGGTGTCCCAATCATTTGATTTTGAACTATTCGATACACACAATAATAAAATACTGTAGTTATTTTAGTTATATTATTATATTGCTACAAACGTAACACAAATGTAAGAACAAAATTTATGCAACTTAAACTGGATACGGAGGAGTCATAAAATAAGCAGGTTAAACTCACAGCTCATGCGGTATTTACTGGATGTGAATGGAGGAGACGTCAATCATCAGCTGCGCACGTGAACACTGCACTTTGCGTGAATCCCGCCGCAACCATCCTTTGCCAAATGATAAGCACACTACTATATCGCGATTTTATTTTCTGTTCGATTAGTGTTCATTACAAAACTGTGGGGGGACAGATTATATTATGACCGTTCATCATTGTAAAATAGACATTTGATCTAAAGTGCAATAAAGAATAAAAAATAATCCGTTTTTAAAAAATCCTGTATGTGCTTTAGGTCTTCGACGTAGACCGCATTTTAATCTTTGTTTTGCGTAAATTACAGTTAATTCATGTGAAATATCCACTCCTGTACATCCTTTGCAATAGCATCAGACGATCTCTTGTCGGTGGAAAGACTGTAAAGCCGTGCGATGCGTGATATCACAACAGATGGCGGTAATAAACAAATTTAGTTTGTGATCTCGTCAGAAGAAGATGCTGGCTCGTGACTCGTCAGAACGCAAAACGGAATGTAGCGTTTGGTCGCGCTACTTGCTGGAAAAAGTAGTTAGCTTCAGGAAAAGCTACACTGTTTTAAAAGTAGCGTCGCTACTGTAAAGCTACTGAAAAATGTAGTTAAGCTAGTAGCATCGCTACTTGTAGCTAGCTACTCCCCAACACTGGAAAATATCCATCCCCTGTTGTCCCCTCACATCAAAATCCACTAACATTTGTTTAGAACTGCTTTGGACTGTTTTCTCTTGTAAATGGTACTTGATCTGTGCATATTTCTTTACTGATTCAGATAAGAACATTCACAAGACATTAATTGATGGACTGGAGTCGTGTGAATTATTGTGATGTTTTTATCAGCTGTTTGGACTCTCATTCTGACAGCACCCGTTCATTCCAGAGGATTCAAGTGATGTAATGCTAAATTTCTCCAAATCTGTTCGGATAAAGAAACAAATTCAGCTACATCTTGGATGGCCTGAGGGTGATTAAGGTCTCTGCAGATTTTAATTTTTAGACAAACTATTCCTTTAATTTTTAGTGTGACAAGGCCTTTTGTCTGAAGTGCTGAACATCATAAGAGTCGTTTCAGTTCAAAAAAGCATAAATGACAGACAAAAGAAGACTGAAACTATGCCAGATCTGAATTTGCATGCATGTGTCTTGCAGTACAGTGACTCTGATTCTGAAGCCGAGTATCCAGCCATTGTTCCGGCGGTTCCGAGTGCAGTGCCTGTAACCGGAGAGTCATACTGCAGCTGTGATTCACAGATGGAGCTCAGCTGTAACCCACGGCTCCGTGGTTACACACACTTGCGAGACTGCCACTGTGGAGAGGATGACCAAGGTGGTGCCACATGCAACATTAATACATTTGTTTTACCATGATCATGCTTATTGTGACTAAACTTATTCTCTTATTGGCTGTTTACTTGTTTGTCAGATTTTGACTGGGTGTGGGATGAGGGCAGCCGGTCGTCTGCAACGCTGCTGAGCTGTGAGAACAGGAAAGTGAGCTTCCACTCTGAGTATAGCTGTGGAACGGCAGCCATTCGCGGCTCCAAAGAACTCTCAGAGGGACAACACTTCTGGGAGATTAAAATGACTTCCCCTGTCTACGGCACAGACATGGTGAGGAACAAAAGTGCAAATGAGTGTCTGTATGCATGTTTTATGTGTTAGTGATATTCAGTATGGTTTTTGTGAATAGGGGGCAGTCTGCTTATTTTGGACATTTTATCTGAAAAGGGCTGATGTTAAACTTAGAAAAATTTAGCAGCATAGCTGATTCAGCAGACTGAAGCATAACTGTCAGCATACAGCTAGTAAGGATGAAACTTGCTGAATCAGTTGAGTTTTCCAAGATGTGAGCCACATTGCAATGAGTAGTTTTGCATACGTCTTGAAAATGTACACAGCAGTTCAAAAGCAGCACTGAACTGTTTTCAACTGATAATGACAAGAAATGTTTCTTGAGCAGCAAAGCAGCATATTAGAATGATTTCTGAAGGATCATGTGACACTGAAGACTGTGGGCTCGTTTAAACTTTACGGTTGAGTTCTCTGTGTGTGTTTATGTAGATGGTTGGTATTGGCACATCAGATGTGAATCTGGACAAATATAGACACACATTCTGCAGCCTGCTGGGTAAAGATGAAGACAGCTGGGGTTTATCATATACAGGTAAAACGGGTTCGGTGCGCAATGTTCACAAACACCTATACTTTACATGAAAGCGTGGTGCATAAGGACTCTTTTGTAATATAATGTATGCTTGTGTTTTTCTCAGGTCTGTTACATCATAACGGTGATAAAGTGAGCTTTTCGTCACGTTTTGGACAGGGTTCCATTATTGGTGTTCACTTGGACACTTGGCACGGCACCCTCACCTTCTACAAAAACCGCAAGTGCATTGGTAAGATGACAAACTCCTTTCATCTTATCTGTCTTGTTTTTGAAACATAATACACATTTTTAAGAGTCCGTTTTTCTCTAGGAAGTGAACGATAACATATGGACAGTTACGTTCTTCTAAAAGGAATGTTTTTAAGAAATCTGTCAACAGAAAAATGTCAAAGCTGTTTTTAGTAACTAGACAAACATGTTTTTAACATTACAGTTTAGTTATTAACAGTAAGGAACAGTGTTGTTGTTGTTGTTATTATTATTGTATTATTTTTCTTATTATTGAGCAGTTATGTTTGTGTGTGTGTGTGTGTATTTTAATTATTGTTAGAATTAGAATGAGTATATTTAAGATAGTTACATTCATTAAACAGGATCTATGTTCCTGTCTAGCTACGTTTGCTATGTATTACTTCTTTAAAGGCAGGGTAGGTGATTTGGTTCAAAAACATTTTTTGTTATGCTGGTTGAAAGTCTCTTCACATCAACACATCCTGATAGCAATCACTAAGTTAAGTGGTCTAAATGTATTTATATGTATGTACATGTATATCGTCTGTGGAAGGCATAGGACCATAAAATGTTTGTCCAATCAAATTCTTTGGTCTGAAGATTACGGTAGGCTGTCCTGCCTGCCTGTCAATGTATGTATTTACATACCTCCGTGCACCTTGTTCATGCAGACATGATACGTCATCAGCACGTTTCATTACTCTATTGCAGACTGAGCGAGAATGGGAGGTGTTATTATTGTAATATTATGCGTTTTTTACTGTAATGTTTTCTCACCGGTAATCTGACAGCTTTGTATTCAACACTCCACCAACGCCGTCTCTCATCGTGTCGCTGGTTAGCCTCTTGTCTGTCTGTGCGCATTCATGTGTTTTGTAGGAGGCGTGGCTTTGCAGAATGATTATGCAGGGTAGGTGGGATCTTGCTTTCAAAGCTAGCTTGCTATTGCTAGCCTTTCCGAAATCGCCTACTCTACCTTTAAATTCACTGCCTTTAAAACAACTCTGCTACAGTAACACTTCTTGTAATTCACATCAACAAATTTCAATTTTTGTAAAAAAAAATATTCAATAAATTTCCAGTTATCCTTGGAGAACAAAACCAATGTCTTGGTAATTTCTGTAAGCAATGTCTTCATAAATGCATGTAATATACTGTAATGTTTTCTCACCGGTAATCTGACAGCTTTGTATTCAACACTCCACCAACGCCGTCTCTCATCGTGTCGCTGGTTAGCCTCTTGTCTGTCTGTGCGCATTCATGTGTTTTGTAGGAGGCGTGGCTTTGCAGAATGATTATGCAGGGTAGGTGGGATCTTGCTTTCAAAGCTAGCTTGCTATTGCTAGCCTTTCCGAAATCGCCTACTCTACCTTTAAATTCACTGCCTTTAAAACAACTCTGCTACAGTAACACTTTTTGTAATTCACATCAACAAATTTCAATTTTTGTAAAAAAAAAAAAAATATTCAATAAATTTCCAGTTATCCTTGGAGAACAAAACCAATGTCTTGGTAATGTCTGTAAGCAATGTCTTCATAAATGCATGTAATAAGTTTATAGTTACTTCACCTACTGTTTTTATTAGAATATTTGTCAGATACCTTGTTCAGGGGTTGTGGTTTGCGTTCATATATCCATAAGAAAAATGTGCTGTCCGTGTCTGGTGAACATGATTATACAAGGCTATAACTAGTTCAAACGACCCACTAACTAGTCTTAAATAATCACAGAGCTGTCTCTGGAGCAGTTTAAAACACTCATTTGATAACATTTAACCCATATGTTGTGTGCATGGCAGGTGTAGCAGCTACAGAGATGAAGAATAAGCATGTTTTTCCAATGGCGTGTTCCACCGCAGCCAAAAGCAGCATGAAGGTGATTCGCTCGGTCTCCGCTCCCACCTCTCTACAGTACCTGTGTTGCTCACGACTCCGCAAGCTGCTCCCGTCTGGAGTCGATGCCCTCAGAGTCCTGCCCCTGCCGCCCGGCCTCAGACACCTTCTTCACTCCGAACTGGGATGGGTGCTAAGCCTGGATCATACGCACACGCACTCGAACACACACACCCCGCCAGGACCCTCCTCGGGCAGTGACTCTGAGGGCTGCTCCTCAGACCCGGAGACCTGCCAGCGGAAACGTTGCCGCTGGACCTGAGGCTGCGAGTGCATGTCCATTATGCATCATTATGCACACATCAGAAAATGTCTCCACAAATTAAAAAAAAAGAACCAACATATATAAACACTGGACGTGTGCTGTCAATCACAACGGTGGATAACAGGGCTGGCTGTAACTTCAAGGTCAGTCAAGCCTGTTTTACTAGTTGCATCACTGGTAAATATTCATCTTTCAATGCTCTAAAGGTAGTTTGCTCCATCAGGTGACATTTGGATATATATTGCAGTATTCAGTCATAGTCAGTTTTTATTATGTTGTGAACGAGTGGAATGAAGACCATCAGCTCTTCGAAAAAAACAAGATGTGAACCTCATGAACCTGTTCTGATGTGGGAAACAATAACATGCCGCCATCTGAAACGCAGGCAAACACTTCACAAAAAAACCCCCACAAACGATACACAACACTTTGAGTGAACTGTACATTTCTCCATTACTGCAGTGACTTGGGGGCAGAAAAAGTTACCCGATCTCCTCTGAAGTAATGCATATTCATGTCTTTCTCCATTACAGGCCAGTCAAACATCTCAGCACTTCAGAGTGTCAAGGTCTGTTCCCTCTTGATGTTTGAACAATCATTGTATGTTTTTACTCTCTTCCTATATTGTCAAACAGCTTGGACTAACCAATAGACAGTAAGTAACAACAGTGACGTCATGATGAATGTCTGCATAAATGTGTTATAAATACCTTTATGTTGAAATGGTGAGGAAAATGCCTGTGTATTTTGACCGTTTTTGGCTCTAGGAATTACTTTGGGCCCTAGTTCTTACTCAAAGTGTGTTTATGTGTGTCTGAACAGTATTTCCATAGAAATTCTGTTTCCCTGGAAATACCTTGATGCAGTTGTCGAACTGACTGATGCTAACTGAAGTGGAGGTTGATTCAGTTTTCAATCTGTGCAACGTCTCTACATGAGGTTCATATTGAATTCATGTGGGGTTTATATTGCAGATTTTGTAATTCATTGTTTAAAAAAAAGCAAATCGTGTTTTTGTTATGCATAAAGCACTTTTTGCGTTTATTGTATGTATGTAGAAATATATACAGGTCCCTATACTGTGTTCTAAGCGTATTGTGTCGTAAGCGCTCTCTCTTTCTCTCATTCACTCTCTGTCTTCTCTCTTCCTTCTCTTGCTTCTACACCATACATTAAGCATGGCCTTTTATATGAGTCAAGAAAAAAATAAGGAAAATTATATATGCATTAAAAAAGGGGCTGAATATGTTTTTGTTTGTTTGTTCTTTTTGAGATCTTAATAAAGGTTTCCAAAAATCAATCATATAGTTGCTCTTATTACACAAAATTAAAACTACACTTTCCATCATATTACATCTTTTGGATAATGAATTTCTAATTAATTTTGTACAGAATATTTCTGACAAAATATTGCGTAATAAAATTACTGCAGTAAAGATTATTTATGTAGGTCTGACTAACAAATAAGACAGTTTGTAGCTGGACAGTTTTATGACCAAGTGGAAGACATCTATTCTTTCAAAACAATGGAATTAATGATATGTAATATAATAGACTGCTAGACTGTCGCACTTGTGAGGTTGAACGCTCGCTCTAAGCGGAACAGGAATACGCACGCGCGTTTAGCACGGACCGATTTCCCGGACGAACAGCAGGAGGCGCGTGACGCATTTGTGGAGGTCAAGTCAAACAGGCAGGTGAGATAACTCATTGACTGAAAATTTAGATTTCTTTCATTCGTTATTCTTCTGTCGGCTTTGGTCGTAGTGTTTTGTGTTCACCTCATAGTATCTAATACAGGGCTGTCCAAACTCGGTCCTGGAGGGCCGGTGTCCTGCAGAGTTTAGCTCCAACTTGCCTCAACACACCTGACTGGAAGTTTCTATGCCTAGTAAGAGCTTGATTAGCTGGTTCAGGTGTGTTTAATATCGCATTACCGAAGGCCGGCCCAAGTCGAGTTGGAGCTAAACTCTGCAGGACACCGGCCCTCCAGGACCGAGTTTGGACAGCCCTGATCTAATACGTTACGATTCAACGGGTTGTAACACGTGAAGCATGTGTGCGCAAGACTGCAGCTGATTGTTTAGCTCAGGGGTAGGCAAGTTCGGTCCTATAGAGCCGCAGTCCTGCAGAGTTCAGCTCCAACCCTAATCAAACACCTGAACAAGTTAATCAATGTCTTCAGGAATACTAAGGCTATAGGCAGGTGAGTTTTGTTTTCAGGGTTGGAGCTAAACTCTGCAGGACTGCGGCTCTCTAGGACCGAACTTGCCTATGCCTGAACTAG